TTTCTTATTTTTTAAATAAATATTTTAAATTATTAGTATTATTATAATAATTTATTATAATCTTATAAATAAATTATAATGCTTACTAAATTTAATAAATCTAATGAATTTATATATTTAATAATTTTTAAATTTATTATATTCTTTAAATATTAAAATTATATTAAAACATATAATTAAACCTAATAATTATTAAAAATAACTTACTTCTTTAATAATATTTATAATTAATAAAGTAACTTATTAATTATTTTTTTAAATAAAAATTATTTAAATTTAAATTACAATTATAAGAATAAATAAATACTGATAATCAATAAAAATAACTTATTATCTATAAAATTATATTTATTATTTATTTTTTTTAAATGATAATTAAATTTAAATAATTTAAATGTAAGAAGTATAATTAAATACTTATAATTAATTAAATAATTTATAATCTAAAAGTTTGATTATTAATTTTAAATAAAAATTTTAATTAAGTTTAATTTTAGTTGAGTTCAAATTATAATATAAAAATAATTAATTTAATACTTATAATTAATAAATAAGTTACAATCTAAAAGTTTAATTTTTTTTTTAAATAAAAAATTTATTTATGTTTAAATCATAATAAAAGTATAATTAAATAAACAATCTAATGTTTAATTAGTTTAAATTTATAATTAAATACTAATAATTAATAAATATAATTTATAACCTAAAAGATACGTTTATTAACTTAAAATTTAAATTATTAATTATTTTTTTTACATAAGTAATTTAACTAATTTTAAATTTTATTATAATAAATGTATTATTAATATTAATTAATTAAATAATTAACTTTCTGTAAAATTAATAATATTTTAATATTTATATTAAAATTATAGTAATATTTAATTAATATATATTTAACTTACTTTCTATTTAAATGTAGTAAGATTTAAATTATTATAAAATGTATAAATATATATGCTTAATAAAGCTATTTACCAACTAAATACAATTAAAAATTTTTATAAAAGAAATTAGTTATATTTAAAATTATAATATATTTAAAATTAAAAATTACTTATTCTCTATAGTATATTTGGTTATTAAATATTGTTTAATTTAAATTGTTTATTTAAAATTAATTGTATAAACTTCTATAAGAATCAATAATAATTACATTTTTTTTAAAAAAAGAAAAGTTAATATAAAATATTATTATTTGATTAACAAATGGATAAATATTCATTATTATGTAATTTTCTTAATGTAGGAGTATCAGTGGCATCTGAATATATTTTGAGAAATTTATTACTTAGTTTATATTATAAATTAGTATATGAAAAAAATTATAAATAATACTTTACCATCTAATCCTTCTATTATTTTGAAATAAAATTGAGCATAATTAATAAATATTTAATATATAAAATATTTATATTTGCTATTATATTACCTTCATCTTGAAACCAATTAGTAAATAAAAAAATATAATTAACGAATTACAGTTATTATATTTGGTTTTATCACTTAAGGTTGGTTCAAAATTACAATTTTCAAGGTTTTATTATTATTTATGTATTTTACATTTGTCATTTTTGATCTAATTCAAAAAAGCACTATAATTTCCGTATAATTTCAAAGAACATGTAAATTTCGAAAGAAACCAGCTCAGCATATACTGAAATAGCAACCCTTTTTTTACTGAGATTTTTATTATCAAAGGCTAATCAATGATAGAAATTTATAACAAATCGAGTTCAGACTTCGCTTTAAAATTTATTTAACGTTTCCATTTTATATATATAAAAAAATTTAAAAAAATAAATAAAACGCCTCTATGAAAAGTAATGAAAAAAAAAGACTGTTGGCGTTAAATTTTGCAGAATGTAAGTAACATGAAGCAAACTGTTTCATTATAAATTGGAAATACGAAATTTAATCATTTAAAAAATAAGTATTTTTTCTAAAAGTAGAAAATCATTATAACAATTATAACACCACTAAAATTTTTTCGTTTATCCATAAAATTTAAATTATTTGTTTTTCCGACCGGTTATTCAAATTCCGTTAGGATTCAAGAATAATATATTTATTTTAAAGGTCAAAAAAAATAACCATCCATGCAAATACTTATTATCAATCATAGAATAAAAGTAATGATTTTGGGTAATTTACATTAGAGATTATATCATAACTTGCAAAGTATTTTTTGATATAATATTTCAATACAGTCGTTTCCCTTATAAAGTCCCTCTTATCACACCACTCGCTATAATATATATAGGATTACCACTTATGAAAGAAGACTCTACTACAAGGTCACGCCTCCTTCTGACGAAGACATGGCTGGCCTATCCTTATTTATATTGAAATGTGAAAAAATGTGAAATTGTGGGATTTGATCAATAACGTGATTTTATCTAATTTTAGTAGCCAATCACTTGTTTTGGTTTTTTATCGCTATTTTTTAAATGTCTTTTTTGTGTAACTTACGTAGACGTCTTATTATACAAGTAAATAAAAAAAAAATAAAAGAAAGAAGAGATCGGTAACCTTGAAAAGTGGAAATTTATTAAAGAAGCCGGAGAAAAAATTATTGAACAAAATATTTCGAAAAAGAATTAAATTATTTCATTTGACATTATATCATCTTCAAACACAAAATCTTCACAAACATTCATCAATTATAACAGCCCTGTTTCAAAAATATGAACAGGTATATATTATTATTATTATTATTATTATTTTTAGAATTTTAGAATTTTTATTCATTATGTAAAACTCATATTTAGAAAATCATTCAAAAAAATGATTGATACGAACCGTTTTTATTGAGTTGATTCACACAAAGCTGAAGAGAAGTCTTGTCAAGATTATCAAATATCAAACCAAAATTTTAATTTTTTTGTACATGTTGGTTTGCTTTATAGTAAAATTAATCTAGTTAGAGAGTAAAATAAAAATCATCATAAAGGATCCAACGAAATTAAAGAAATAAATAAATAATATCAACTAAGAATAAAGAACAATGAAATTGATTGAATAAATAGATGTTAATGATTCATAAAATATTTAAGAATAAAAAATTGAAACCTAAATCATGAATTTAATTTACATAAAAGGTACAGCCGCGCAAACATAAAATTACCTCAATTAAATTCTGTCAATTCCTCATAAATTAAAATGAAATTGGAATCTCAACTAATCGTCTAAAAAATAAATTGAAAGGTAACAAATTGGACGAAACATCAAAGTATTAATTGACCGCTCATTTTCTTGTAACATTAGATCATATTAAGGTTGAAAATTCATCCATTTCCAATGATTTATTATTTTTGGGCTTCTGATTATTCTTTCGAATCGTCTTTTTAACAGTTGCAACGTTTGTACAAAGCGATTTTACTATCCAAATTAAATTTCTTGGTTCAATAAAACATCATATGATATATAAATTTATTATACGCTATAATATGGATCAAAGTTCAGTTCTATTTACATTACATTCCAAGCAGCACATAATATAATTAACACATAGTCTCCCAATCATTAAATATATAATCATTAACGATATACCGACGAATTTGCCATGACGTATATTAGGAAATTCTCAAAAGGAAAAAATATATATCTAATTAAAATAAATAATAATTAGTTATTATACTGTATACTTGTATACTTCGATATTTTCTACTAAAATAAAAATTTACAGTTAGTTTTCTGTTTGATTCTAGATGTTCCTCTTTTATAAACTTCGCCAAATGTAAGCCACTATAAATCGTTCTCTCTACTCTTCCCAATTCTTTTAATAATATACCTCTTTCCTTTACAACCAAACCAGAACTATAACTATTACTGCTAGAGTATTGTCATCAACATCATTTTCCTCTTCAGCTCTTTCTTTTAACACATCTTTCACGGTTATAAGTCCTACCAATTTACCTTCATACTCTATGAGAATAACACGCGGTCTAAAAAACAAATATGTTATGTTAACCTAATCTTAATATTAACATAGTTGATAGATAAAAATACTCACCCCATTTCTTAAACAATTCCATAACCTTTTCAAGAGGTAATCTCGATCGGCGTCTATTAAATATAAACTACGTCAATACTAAGATTTTACATACTACTTTAAAATACATAAATAAATTATTTAACCTGGTCTATGAATGGCCCAAATCGATAAAATTAGATGAACTTTCTCCACTATTATCTGGATCTGAATAATTATATTCAGGTTTAAAAAACAATGGCATCATCCCTATGAAAAAAATCCCATACAGTTTTTGTGTAGCATTTGTGCCAAAAAAAAAACACTACAATTTTCGGACAGTGCAGGGTGCCAAAACATGAAATAACCCTAGTACCTGTACGGTCAAATTT